CCCCCTCGGTTTGTTCTTCCAATAATTTAATTATCTGCCTACAACCTTTGGTGTATTTTCGCAGTTGTTACTATTTTATTGCCAGTCTTGCGAATCATTTATCTCATTCCAATATGAAAAGTATATTCATGTATGTGTATTATAAATAAAACCTGCCAATCAATCAATCTAGAATTGGAATTTCTGAACAAGAGACAGCCTTACTGACTGAGCTTCTTTCAAAAAACCGCGACCAATTCAGCTACAACAAAATCTTTCACTCTGAAAAGACAAAAGACGTTTCAGTCTTTATATATAATTACCTTGTACCGTGGGTATAGCCCAAGTTTCCTCTGGCCCTGACACCAGACTTAGACATTTTGATTGATAGATGTCTGGTGTGGGGCCAGAGAGCACAATTTTATGAAAATGTGGAAGTCTGGGCCAGAGGAAACTCAGGCTACCTTATATTATAGTCTGATGGATTTGTGGTTTACAATTAAGGGCAAACATGTTTAAAATTTAAACAAGAAAAACAATTTGGGGGTGGTGTTATTTTTTTCAGATTTTTGTTATGTTCCCCTTCTATTTTCAGGCTAGAAGGAATTGAAATTTCCCTTAAGCTCAACTAAAGAAATATAGAGCAGCTGACTAGGAAGCTGGGGGTCCCTGGGTCCGTTCCTTGTGTAAGCTCAGTGCTCAATTTCCTGCTATAGATGGGGTCTGAAATGACCTTCCCTGTGGTGACTGGGAGCTTGATCCTAGCATAGGTTGTAGACTAGAGGTGTTTAAAGACAGACATCATATCTAAAAAAGAGTAGGAGTAGCGAGTGTATGTGGCAGGTTTTAATTGTACATATGATCATCTTCTAACTGCACCAGGGAATTTCTGTTTTGCTCAGTTTATGGAGTGGTATGTTTCGTCTGTCCCTGGTGGAAGCACATACACTACATACTCTCCTTCCTTGTGGTGTCAGGGATATAAAGAACACAGTTTATTTTAAAACTAAAACTTTTTGTAACTGAACAATATTGAAGTAATCTTGCACACTACACAGATCTAGCAGCACAATGTACTATATCTGCATAGGCTACCCAGTTCAGACATGTAAATGCTGAGCGGGTGAATGTGTAGCTGTTTCTGGTTGCATGTCATGTCCTTTTTCCTTCTGGCAGTCTTTTCTGTCCGCTCTCTACCTCTCTGCCACTCATCTTTGTTTTCTTTTTGTCTTTCTTTGTCTGTCGTCCTTTTTCTATACATTCTTATTTTTCTTATTCTCAGTTTCACACCCTTTATAATGTAAATATAGATCAACAATCCTCGCACATCCTAAAATGACCATAGCTGTTAAAAGGACGTAAAACACAACTATTTTAATCTTTTTTTTTTTCAAATAATTTTTGATCACAACACCTATTCAAGTTGGTTCTTTTTATTTCAGGTGAAATTCAAAAAGACTGTCCGCAGAAGAGTTCCACCACACCCAGGATGTCGCTGTTCAAGGCGCGAGACTGGTGGTCCACCTCGGTGGGAGAAGCTGAAGAGTTCGGATCTGGCTGCCTCTGCGTGGCTAACATTGATAACGGGTCAGATGGACTCGGTGGGTGTTGTTAGTCAGATGTGTAATGTATTCTTAAACTTATAAAAAATAGTGCTTCTAAGTAGGGCTGCAACTATCGCATACCTCACGATACAGTGCGATGCTTATGATACGATACATATCATGATACAAATATCTGCTTAGTAGGTCAACTTTATAATGATTAAGTGTAATTTAATCGAGTTTTGTCATAGATTTCATTATTAAATACTTTCAAAATATATTTTTGTATAATTTTTAGTACTTCTGGGTATAACTGCACAGTAGACCACATCTTTAGTGAAGGATTCAATAAATATAAGTACACTTTTTTAGAGTTTGATAAAAATAGATTGATAATTTGATTACTATTAATGTATCGGGATACAGGCAAACAAAACAATTTGAAACGATACACAAGAAAGTATGACAATACGATATGATAAATTGTTGCAGCCCTACCTCTTTGGCAATAAATATCTATCACTACCTTTCCTGTGAAAAAAAACCCACATTTATTAATTGTTTTAATATTTAGTCTCTTTTAAAGATGCTAACAAAAGGTAAGCTAAATCAGTATGAAAAAGGAAATACCTTCTGACCACCATTGTCCAAAACCTAGCTCAACCTTAAATGAGGTTAAAAGGACGTAACAAACAAACAAACTTTCTGACCGATGTGAAATGACTTAAGTGGAAGTGGTTATTTTATTATAATAATAATTGGAGGTTCTTATATACCGCTTTATCACACCCTAGTTCGTAGGTCATCTCAAACGTGCACAAATTATTATCTGTGGTTATAGGGCCTTTGCAACCAGCCAACATCTTTCTCAACTCCCTGGGGAGCATACAGCCGGAGCTGCCATTGTGGCGCTCACAGCTAGCATTCAACAATTCTAGAACTACCCAACCACATACTCATTTACAGCTGAGTAGACTGGAACAATTAAGGGGAGTAAACTATCTTGCTCAAAGATACAACACGGTGCCGTGCCCTGGCTCGAACCCGCAACCCTTCAGTCACGAGCCCGGCATCCTACCATTAGACTACCTTGCCTCCTCATTTTCTTATATAATCCTTTGTCATTTTCCTGTTTCTTTTAAGCCATGTTCTAGGGAGTGATGATATTCAATATTTCATGGGGATCAGCAGATCAGTATTTTTGATTTGCATTGTGGGAGAGATGGAAAAATTTAAGTGAATGAAATTGCATACGTAAACAAAAACTGCACTACTTCAGTCATTTGGTTTCTTTTTCCGACTCTTAAAGTAGCTGATAATTTACAGCTTTGCATGTCTAAGACTTGCTTGAGACCTTTGATATCATAATAAAATCATTATCATTCTGCATTTTTTTCAGACAAAATTGTCACAGGTAGCTACCAGGGAATTCTGCGTGTGTACAACCCCCGCCCCACCAAACAGGAAGATGGATGGTCAGGCTACCGACCAGAAGACGTACTACTGGAGTCATCCCTACCTAACCCGATTCTACAAGTGGAGGCAGGAGTCTTTGCCTCGTACGTTCTTACAATGTTGACACTGTTCTTGGTCTCACTAATAACATCGTAGCAAGCATGTTATTACGCTCCCCAAAATTTTCCGGGGGAGCATATAGTTGCTGGTTTGTCCGTTCATCTTCCTTCCTTCTGTCCATTCCCCTATTCGTGTCCGGAGCATAAGTTTACCCACATTGCTAGGATCATGAAACTTGGAGTGTACATCACTTATACTAAGATGAAAATTTAGGGCCAACAACCCCTCATATACGAAGTTGTTGCCCTTGTCGTTTACGGAGCATAGCTTTGCCCGCATTTAAGGAAGGATCATGAAACTTGGTGTGTAGTGTACATCAGTCTTACTAAGATGATGTAGTACATGTGCACTGTACCAAATTCAGGGCCCACAACCCCTTAACTACAGAGTTATTGCCCTTTCCTATAATGTCGTGTCTGGACCATAACTTTGTGTACAGTTAAGGTCGGATTATGAATCTTTGTGTGAAGATCAGTCACACTAAGGCAATGTGCACGGTACCAAATTCAGGGCCCACAACCCCTTCATTACAGAGTTATTGCCCTTTCCTATAATGTCGTGTCTGGACCATAACTTTGTGTACAGTTAAGCTAGGATCATGAATCTTTGTGTGAACATAAGTCACACTAAGGTGATGTGCAGGGTACCATATTCAGGGTCTGCAGCCCCTTAATAATAGAGTTATTGCCCTTTGCTAAAATATCGGACACATATACATGTGTGTGTGTTAAAACATTATATTTCTTCTTCCAAACTCCCTATTTCAACATATGTTTACCAATATGTGTCACAAATCTAACTAAATGCAAAATTCACAAACAGGAAAAGCCTCCAATAAAATTGTTTTCGGGGAGCATACATCAGTTCCACTGATACTCTTGTTAATAGAACATTGTAGGCGAGTCTCAAGAATTAGATAAGTAATGGTCATCATACTAAGATGAATATTTAGGGCCAGTTATTGGAATTAAGCTTTGGAAGATTTATCTTTAATGATCTAAATTAAATTTTAAAATATTTACCAAAAATAACTATTCTTATTTGGAAATATTACAGGATTTGTAATCTTATGTTACAGGGGCTCCGATCTCCTCCACCTCGCTGTGTTACACTCCAGAAAGTTGGCAGTGTACAGTGTGTCTGGTAAGTAACGGAAAATTAATGTTAATTTGTGACCTAGACTTTTGGGTTCATTTATAGAATTTGAGAATTGTCTCTGGAATTCAAATTGGTAAAGTTAACCTTAGTTTATATCTGGTAATCCAGGAAGTAATGGGAAGGAATATGAAAGGGAATATAAAAGTAAATTGTATATGAATAATTCACTGGTTTTGGAAAAAAAGTGTTATTAAAATAGTGATGTAAAAATCCAGAAAAAGTCTCTTGAGATATAAAATTCCAGTGAAAGGATGATTTGAAGTCTAACTGAACGTTTTCTTTTGTTTTGTTTTTGCACACTAATGCACATGATAGTTATGTTGAAGCTATGATCAAAAATAAATGATAAAGCACAGAAGTGATATGTTGTAGTACTCATGTAAATGTTGATTTTGTAGTGATGCCGGGGGCTGTCGACCATGGTCGTCAGTATCAGCTGAAAAAGACGTATGAACACAGCCTTCAGAGAGCGGCCTTTAACTTCTGTTACGGTCCCTTTGGATCAGTGAGAGGTAGGGAGATTATCACAAACTAAAGGTTCCAGTGATGGACATACTGTAAACAGGGACATCTTCTGCTGCAGTTTACTTTTGTCCCTCCGCAATGATGGCAAATTTATCATTACAATGAATATAAGTAAACAACATGATAAACATAGTAATAAAATAGGAAGGGCGAAATTAACACAGGACGAAAATTGATCTCATGGGCGAATGCTGACAGTTTGACTGGGCAACAATTTCCTGGTATACAGTACATGTACAGGTCATTTAATCTGTTATTTACTTTAGTCAATCTGTCCAAAGCATCTTCTACAAGTACCGTGGCATGCAATGATTAATGGAAAAGATAGAGTTGAATTTTCAAGTTCAGGACAAATTAAATAGAAAAAAACAAATATCTTTCACCAAACAAATTTTCAGTGATTTATCTTCTGATTTCTGTCATTCCACAGATAATAATTTGTAAACTGCTTTGAGACAATCTACGAACTAGGTTGTGATAAAGCAGTATATAAAAACCTTGAATTGGTATTATCATTATTATTCCCTTACATATAATTACATTGAATTTTGTTCTTTTTGTTTTTCATTTCAGGCAAAGACTTTATATGTGTGCAATCCATGGATGGAACAGTGTCCATCTTTGAACAGGAGAGTTTCTCGTTTAGTCGTTTCCTACCAGGAGCACTGCTACCTGGACCTATTAAATACATTCCTAAACTGGACAGTTTTGTCACTGCATCATCGTCCTGGCAGTTAGAGTGTTATAAGTAAGTTTCTCACAGCTATACAGTAAGTCTCCTCACAGCTATACAGTAAGTCTCCTCACCGCTATACAGTAAGTCTCCTCACGGCTACACAGTAAGTCTCCTCACAGCTATACAGTAAGTCTCCTCACGGCTATACCGTAAGTCTCCTCACGGCTATACAGTAAGTCTCTCAAGGCTATACGGGAAGTCTCCTCACGGCTATACAGTAAGTCTCCTCACGGCTATGTAAGTCTCCTCACAGCTATACAGTAAGTCTACTCACGGCTATACAGTAAGTCTCTCACGGCTATACGGCAAGTCTCCTCACGGCTATACAGTAAGTCTACTCACGGCTATACAGTAAGTCTCTCACGGCTACACAGTAAGTCTCTCACGGCTATACAGTAAGTCTCTCACGGCTATACAGTAAGTCTCCTCACAGCTATACAGGAAGTCTCCACAGGGCTACACAGTAAGTCTCCTCACGGCTACTCAGTAAGTCTCCTCACAGCTATACAGTAAGTCTCTCACGGCTACACAGTAAGTCTCTCACGGCTATACAGTAAGTCTCCTCACCGCTACACAGTAAGTCTCCTCACCGCTATACAGTAAGCCTCCTCACGGCTATACAGTAAGTCTCTCACGGCTACACATTAAGTCTCCTCACAGCTATACAGTAAGTCTCTCACGGCTACACAGTAAGTCTCTCACGGCTATACAGTAAGTCTCCTCTATACAGTAAGTCTCCTCACGGCTATACAGTACGTCTCCTCACGGCTATACAGTAAGTCTCTCAAGGCTATACGGGAAGTCTCCTCACGGCTATACAGTAAGTCTCCTCACGGATACACAGTAAGTCTCCTCACGGCTATACAGTAAGTCTCTCAAGGCTATACGGGAAGTCTCCTCACGGCTATACAGTAAGTCTCCACAGGCCTACACAGTAAGTCTCCACAGGGCTATACAGTAAGTCTCCTCATGGCTATACAGTAAGTCTCCTCACAGCTACGCAGTAAGTCTCCTCACAGCTATACAGTAAGTTTCCACTTGCTATACAGTAAGTCTCCTCACGGCTACACAGTAAGTCTCCTCACAGCTATACAGTAAGTCTCCTCCCCGCTATACAGTAAGTCTCCTCACGGCTATACAGTACGTCTCCTCACGGCTATACAGTAAGTCTCTCTCGGCTATACGGCAAGTCTCCTCACGGCTATACAGTAAGTCTACTCACGGCTATACAGTAAGTCTCCTCACGGCTATACAGTAAGTCTCTCACGGCTATACGGCAAGTCTCCTCACGGCTATACAGTAAGTCTCCTCACGGCTATACAGTAAGTCTCCTCACAGCTATACAGTAAGTCTCCTCACGGCTTTACAGTAAGTCTCCACAGGGCTACACAGTAAGTCTCCACAGGGCTATACAGTAAGTCTCCTCTTGGCTACACAGTAAGTCTCCTCACAGCTATACAGTAAGTCTCTCACGGCTACACAGTAAGTCTCTCACGGCTATACAGTAAGTCTCCTCAGGGCTACACAGTAAGTCTCCACAGGGCTATACAGTAAGTCTCCTCTTGGCTACACAGTAACTCTCCTCACAGCTATACAGTAAGTCTCCTCACGGCTATACAGTAAGTCTCCTCACGGATACACAGTAAGTCTCCTCACGGCTATACAGTAAGTCTCTCATGGCTACACAGTAAGTCTCCTCACGGCTATACAGTAAGTCTCCTCACGGCTATACAGTAAGTCTCTCACGGCTATACAGTAAGTCTCCTCACGGCTACACAGTAAGTCTCCTCAAGGCTATACAGTAAGTCTCTCACGGCTACACATTAAGTCTCCTCACGGCTATACAGTAAGTCTCCTCACGGCTATACAGTAAGTCTCCTCACGGCTACACAGTAAGTCTCCTCACCGCTATACAGTAAGTCTCCTCACGGCTACACAGTAAGTCTCCTCACGGCTATACAGTAAGTCTCTCACCGCTACACAGTAAGTCTCCTCACAGCTATACAGTAAGTCTCCTCATGGCTATACAGTAAGTCTCCTCACGGCTATACAGTAAGTCTCCTCACAGCTATACAGTAAGTCTCCTCACGGCTATACAGTAAGTTTCCTCACAGCTATACAGTAAGTCCCCTCACGGCTATACAGTAAGTCTCTCACGGCTATACAGGAAGTCTCTCACGGCTATACAGTAAGTCTCTCACGGCTATACAGTAAGTCTCCCCACGGCTACACAGTAAGTCTCCTCACGGCTGTACAGTAAGTCTCCACAGGTCTACACAGTAAGTCTCCTCACCGCTATACTGTAAGTCTCCTCACGGCTATACAGTAAGTCTCCTCACGGTTATACAGTAAGTCTCCTCACGGCTATACAGTAAGTCTCTCACGGCTACACAGTAAGTCTCTCACGGCTATACAGTAAGTCTCCTCACAGCTATACAGTAAGTCTCCCACGGCTATACAGTAAGTCTCCTCACGGCTATGCAGTAAGTCTCCTCACAGCTATACAGTAAGTCTCCTCACGGCTATGCAGTAAGTCTCCTCACAGCTATACAGTAAGTCTCCACAGGGCTACACAGTAAGTCTCCACAGGGCTACACAGTAAGTCTCCTCACAGCTATACAGTAAGTTTCCACTTGCTATACAGTAAGTCTCCTCACGGCTACACAGTAAGTCTCCTCACGGCTACACAGTAAGTCTCCTCAATGGTTGGCAGATCTAGTTTTAATCCAATACCCATAATGTATATCATTACAGGTGCATGCCACCTCCCCCATAAATAAAAAGTGGAACAGCCCATAGAAGAATGTGTTATTGATAAAAACAGAACTATTGTTCCTTTTTTTCTAGGGGGAGGAGGGGGGTGTTTAATTTTTCAAGGGATAAATAATGAACACAAAACCACAGAAATAATGTGAATTAAGATAAGCTTATAAATGTTAAGTTTAGATATATAAGGATTGTTCTTATTTTGCCAACAGATATCAGGTCTTGGCTGTAGCAACAGATTCCAAGACGAAAGAAGAATCTCAAAGTATGAAGTCTGGGAAACGAGTGAATGTAAGTGTAGAACTGTGATAATAATTCTGTATTGAATGGATTACAGGGAACTGAACCTGATTCTTTATCTTAGTTCTAATTGAAATTACAATATTGTAGCATAAAATAGTTAACAGGAGTTAAAAATTCGTTAATAATTGAATTTGAAAAAAAAGAATTTTTCATGCCGATTTCAGTGAAAAAAATCCTGATGTTTTGCACCTCAAAGTTTTCATTGGCTGAGAAGGGAACACCACATTGGTTGATTTGATACACTTTTTCTTTCATTTACAACAATAGGAACTTCATTGTTTAGATCAAATGCAAACATCTTCAGTTAATTTTAATTGAACTGAAAGAGGTAAAAAATGTTTAAATATAATTTTCAAAACATTTTTAAATACTCTAGATCTGTAAGGAGAAGGAAATTCTTCCAATGTTTTAAGCTGAATGTACAGCTTGAAGGGCCTGCAGTTATAGTCTATAACTACTATACAGTTTGAAGGGCCTTCAGTTATAGTCTATAAGTACTATACAGCTTGAAGGGCCTTCAGTTATAGTCTATAAGTACTATACAGCTTGAGGGGCCAACATTTATAATCTACAACTTTTGTATTTAACAAATGGATCAGTGACTCTATGCATGTTCTCCAGCATCTTGCATTGTTGATACAAATTAATTTTTATTGCATGAAAAAAATAGTCATTTGCGTTTATATCATTGAATGTATTGACTAATGGCTTCAGCGCTGTATTTTGTTCAGACATAGCACATGTGGATCTCATCTGGGCAGGATTGTTGAAAATTCTGTAAAGTACATACAGTTGCCATTGTACACCTTGTTTTTGTAAATACCATAAGTCTGTGTGTCACCTCGACTCCTCTGTAATTCTGTCTGACATTAGTTTATAAGAAATGAAATATGATTCCTACTGTTAATCAATTTACTTGTAATCTGACTGTATCATAAAAATTTATGACAAAAACTCAATGAGAAAATCAGTTTGTTTAAAATAATAAACAACTTTTGTTTTTTTATATAAATCACCCTTATTGGCTGTGATGGAATCGAAGGTATATGAGGTCTTAATTTATGGTACAACAGCATTTTAAACTAAACTAAGTACACTTTGACTATAGCTGTAACGTAACATTTGTGTCCTGTTGTGGCTGTAAGCAAAAATATCTAGGGCTGTAATGTCAAATCTTGTTGAAGAGAATGCAATGCCAGATTTGTCTCACAACACTGGTTCTATCATATAGTCTTGAAATAAGTTTCATCTGCTGACACATGTTAGCTGTATACCCCTGTATTATTTTAAGACTGCTCCACTCCAACGATATTCTCAGAGGATGTTATGTAGTGTGATAGTACAGTCATATACATCTTAATATGCCACATGTAACAATTCCATTGTCACACAGAACTCTGTGATGATGTTGCAAATTCACAACAAATGTGAAGCTAAATATGATCACTTTGCCATTTCTCATCTGACTTGAGTGAGACTTGCTGAAGTTTATTTCATGAAACACAAAACGAGATATATTCATTAGGAACATTAACTCCCTCAGATCCTTTGTGACTTCTAATTTTACGGAATAATTGATTTTTGCATCAACTTTTTAACTGTGACTGAAATAAATTATCCAGTGAATCTTCCTGTCTGTTTCAAATAAAGACGTTTTGTAATAAGATTGCTTTGTTATGTATGATTAATTCAACTTTTGAAGGTGTCTGGCCGCGGGACTGTATGTGAGGTATGGCTCAGTAGAATCTGTAGTGTTCTGTAGCTAAACTTATTAACCTGAACTTTTAATGTCTCATATGTTTGATATTTAGAAGAAATGACAGTATTTTAGTGATATCAATATTTTCTGTCCTGGATTAAATCTGCTGAAATTGTAATAATATTTTTACTTTGCACAATACAGTATTATTGAAAGAGGCCCTTACATCTGTCAGTAAATATCCTTACTCAGGACAGATGTATTCCTCATTATGTAAACCCTATTTGAACTTCATACAAACTAATTAACATACAGACTGTCTGGTTTGAGATTGTATATAGCTAGTGCTAATATTTTTTAAATGAATAATTGCTTTTTACATTTATATCAGCATTTATGCTATTTTTTCTTCCAGAATTTCAAGCTAAATATGCTTTGCTACATTAATATTAACATAGATATTTATATATTATATATACAGCGCTTGATTTGAGTTGATAATGAATTCATTGTATTTTTTTGGGGTGGAATTGAGTTATAATATAATCTGTAATAGGTTTTGATTGCTTACATTAAATGAAATATATTATTCTAATGATAAAAACCTTGAAGAATTAAATGAGTTTATTCTACACACTTGGCATTTTAGAAAGAAATTAGTTTCAACAATTCTAGACAAATCAGTTCTTTTTAATCTTTTGATCAATTTAATTGAAGTTTTATTTCTTTTGCAAGTGAATTTACATGTTTCCATTGTTTAGACCAGATTTACTTGGCATTGTTCTAGATATCAAATAACTCCACAATTTCAATGATGTCTATGATGTCTCTTGAAATACACGGCTCTAGATGCTAGATCTGACATTGTGGTATATATATATAGGTCTCTATAAAGCCCATACAAACTTTGATGAATAGAATCTTGTATTCCTGTACGTCTTTACCATAAACAATCACTGTAATACAATCTCTTAAAAGGAGCTCTGTTTCTTGAAAACATGTATCACTCTCATAGCTTGCTGCTTTTTAAGACTTGAAGAAGATTGAATAATTCATACTGATGTATTAGCAGGCAGAGTTTAATATGCATCAGATAGATAGAAATTACAATATTTTTCTATAATTTTTTACTAAAATACCCTACCTGAAAATCTGTTTCTCTTAAAAAATGAAATTAAGATTTCTTTCTCTGTGAACTGTCTACTATGATACTTCAGCATGACAAAACAAAGAGTATGATGTTCTGTTTTTCTTTCATTGCATGCTGAGCATGATGGATGCCTCTAGTGGTTGATTGTATAAAATTTATGAATGTTTTTTGAAAATTTGTTTTTCTGTAGACCTTTTTAGAAAAGTTTCCAGAAGCATAATTTTAATGTTTAAGGCCTTTCTGTGTAAACTTTGCTATACATGCATGATTTCAACCTGTAGATGAATAGTGTGTATATATAGAATAAAATATATTCTATGAAATATATATATATATTGTCATATGTAACTTGTTCAATCAAAGATGATAAACCTCTTCATTTTTTTCCTAAATTGAGATCCACAGCTTTCGATATTGTTTAAACCACAGTGAAAGTAATGGAAGATGCCTGACATGAGGAGCAGTAACTAGTTTAGACCTAGAAACAAGCGTTTTTAAATTATATGCACTATTCCATTGATATTTGGCTTTGATCAGATAAGGAACTTCCAAATGTAGCATATTCTCAAGTAACTTGAAATTCATCAAAATAAGGTGTATTGTTTACCCAATAAAACAATACGCTGCAGTATTCATGTTTATGACGAATAAGGAAAATCTTCTCAAGTTTGTCCTTGATTTGATAAACAGGGTTTTATTGAATTTCTTTTTTTTCCAAAGATTGTTTTAAGTTGTTAGAATAAAGAAAATAAAAAAAGATTTTACAAGGTTGATATTCTATTTTAAATACTGGCATGTTGTTTTATTGCCATTGTGCTTTTAACGTTACCTTAAAACACAATATTGATCTTTGAATTTATATATATAATTTATATGGCTCACCACACGAGTTATTGAAATTAATGTTGTTGAATTTTCATGATATCTTATATTTTTGTGTGAATTGTTCTTTTCAGTATGACTGGTGTTTTAACATCGGAGAGCAGGCCGTAGATATCTTTGTGACTCAGTTCCAACAAAATGCACCGCAGACAATACTGGTGTTAGGTAAGTCATACACAATATTGGCATACTTACCAACTTTTCAAAATTTCCATGGGGGAGAGATCTTAAGATGTTAGAAATAGGAATAATTTAGCAAATTGACTGGTTGAAAATGGTCAATTATAGGGTCCCAAACGGGAATTCTCCCTCCAAAATGGGGAGAGGTGGCAAGTATGTATTGGTATCAACTTGGTTATCGACCAATAATTTTGGTATTAGGGACATGCAATTCCTAGACCAACAATACAAGAACAGTTGTGGGATCACACAACGTTACACGATGTGCGGTGTGCGAACGATGTATGCACAATACAAATACTGGGTAATTCCTAACGTTCGCACATCAAGGTGCACGACAGACGGACGAAACGAACGATGTGCGATAGCTATCGTGGTTGATATAAATATTGGAATAAGTTGTGAAATGAAGTCTATGATGCAAGTTATTTTTAAAACATACTTATATGTTCTTGATGTACCTTGACATGTAAAGCCAGTCTTGTACTTTCAACAAGATTTTCTACCTGAAAACAAAATCCACCTGAATAGTCATATTTCGTAATTTTTGTATAAGGCAATTCATAGAATGGTAATATTGGTATGAGGTAAGTTGAAGTTTCAGTCACACAGTATTGGTATCAGAAAATGTAATTTAAGAAAGCAAGATATGTTTAAATTCTTCAATATATTTTGTGTTGCTGACTTGAATGATGTCTTTGCTTTATATTGTACATGTGAGTTTTATTTGCAGGAGAAAAGAATATATTTTGCTTAACAGAAACAGGTAAACTTAAATTTATGAAGAAGATGGAGTGTGACCCAAGTTGCTTCCTACCTTATGCTTCAGGTAAGTTATCTAATAGATGATCAACTTAAGGTGGTGTGCCACTTAACTTGTTAAATTTGTGATCAGTGTTAGAGTTATCTCCCTTAATCTTTTTATCAGCATATATTTAATATTTCAGATTTTCTGGATTGTTTTTAATGCATCTAAATCGTTTTCCATTCCATTCAAAAATATCACCTGTTAATACACCATGTGGAAATTGATATATTCTAGTGATGAAATAGCTAGCCTTAAANAAAATCATCGGTATTTCTACCTGTCTGACCAACGTTTTGTTCAGGGATTTCCCTCTACTAGCGCATGCGCATAGCACACCATTTCTTTGTAAACAAAATGACTGGCCGTGTGAAGTAAGCGAAAGAAAAGTGTTGTACCGTGTCAGCTACGAAACGAAAAGTTGCCAAATGGTCAAAAGATAGCGCAAGGAGTACGTTACGGAATCATTATTGCAGGTGGGCAGTATTCAAAGGAGAAAATAACTGCCGTAGCAGTTAGTACGGTGCATGTATTCTTCCGGATAGCCGGTTAAGCTGAATGGAATCGACAGAAATGCTAACGCTGTTTATGTTATGAATTAATTTCTAAAACTATTAAGCTCGCTAGTATCTTTGTCTGAGTTTGAACACAGATGAACTTAATATGTTAATGGGCATGTATTGGAGAGAGTTTATTTTGTGTTTCTATAATTATACAGTGGTTTATGCGAAAGGAAGGGATTAGTGACTGGTTAGTTTGATTTTTCCATGAGGCCCTCCAAGGGATAACTGTTGTGATGGCCCACGGCGTATTTTCTGGGTCACCGAGATACGTGTTATCGAAGTCCGTGGATTTACATTATTTATAATATTACCGGGTTCAATAAAATGGTATGATTTAATTATATTGCTGAATTAAACGATTATTTTTGTTTTTACATGCAAGATTTAAATTAATACTAATATGAATACCCGGCCTCCTCTGCCCCGGCAACATATAAAAAAAAAATCAGAAAGGTTTGTCCCTTGGTGTAGGGAAGGTGTTAAGCCACGTACCATCTGTACCGGCCAAATTCCGGTACTAAATTCAATATATATTTAAATATAGCTACTTTATGTTTATGCCTATTATCATTGTTGACATTTAATTGTAAATGTATGACGGGAGAAGGCTGTGATAAATTGTAAAATCTTGTGCCCCATCCCTTGTTTAATTTTATTGGCAACAAATTTATGTTTAAAGCTTAATAAATTTAAATTCTAAATATTGGCAAGTGTGCAATTAACTTCTAATGATGAATAACTACTGTTCAATAAGTTTGAATACGGACTTAGAAATCATATAACTTGGTTTCATAGTGCAGTAAGAAGTTCCAGTTGCCTAACGGCCCCTCTCTGGGGGCCTCTTTGGAAACCGTTTCATCTCGCTCGCACCACTTGTGTTTACTGCCTAGTCAGGTGACGTTATCGACGCTATTTTTAGCAGGGCTTTCCCGAACAATTCAAGTGGTCAAACTGGACATCTGGAACTGACTATGAATATGGGGATAGCGTGGTAACATAAGTGGAAGTGCATAAAATACATACATTCATTAAAAAAAAAACGCCTTTTCACGTGATGTCCCTTTAAGCAAAAAAACAACCAATCTCCACTTCAGAAAGTGGATTCAAATAAAAAAGAAAAGAAGAAATACATCAAATTCAATCTTTCTTACGGATGTTTTGAAATGCATTTTAGCTTCTTAACCACTGATTGGAATTCAACTAAATTTGACTGGAAGCATCACTAGGTGGTGGGGATTCAAAATTGTACAAATGGTGGGGCTGACCCCCAAGGGGGCTGAGGGCAGGGCTAAAAGGGGGCAAATTGATTATATTGCTATAAGCGACTTCTTCTCTGGAACAAAGAGATGGATATCAACCATATTTGACTGAAAGTATCTCTAAGTACTGGAGATTCAAAATTGTACAAATGTTGGGGCTGACCCCCCAGGGGGCTGAGGGGCGGGGTAAAAAGGGGGCAATTTGGCTATATTGCTACAAACGACTTCTGTAGAACTATGCACTGGATATCAACCATATTTGACTGGAAGTACCCCTAGGTGGTGGGGATTCAAAATTGTACAAATGGTTGGGCTGACCCCCCAGGGCTAAGGGGCGGGGCCAAAAGGGGGCAATTTGGCTATATTGCTTCAAACGACTTCTGTAGAACTATGCACTGGATATCAACCATATTTGACTGGAAGCATCCCTAGGTGGTGGGGATTCAAAATTGTACAAATGTTGGGGCTGACCCCCCAGGGGGATGAGGGGTGGGGCCAAAAGTGGGCAATTTGGCTATATTGCTTTAAACGACTTCATTAGAATTTTGCCATGGATATCGATCATATTTGGTCAGAAGCATTCATGAGAGGCAGGGATTCAAAATTGTAGAGTATAAAGAGAAGAATGCACATTTGCTTCCAGTATGGCCTAGGGTCTGGCCCCACCCTTTGAGACATTGTCCCTGGGTCATAACTTTGAAACGGTTGAGATCCCCACTCCAGAACTATATATACAAATGCTTAGCATAAAGAGACAAAAGTAGTCATGGTATTAGAATAGACCCTGGGGTCTGACTGAACCCCTAGGGACCTAGTTTCTTAAGTCACAGCTTGGAAACAGTTGAGATTCCCACCCTATAACCATGCATAGATACAATTGCTGAGTATAAAGAGATGAATGCACATATGCTTCCAGGATGGCCTTGGGGTCTGCCCCACCCTTGGAGACTTCGAAATGATTAAGATCCCCACCCCAAAACTATATATACAGTTGTTGGGCATAAAGAGACGAATGCAGTCATGATATTAGAATTGACCCCAGGGTCTTCCCCACCCTTGCAGACTTAACCCCTGGGTCATAACTTTGAAACGGTTGAGATCCCCACCCGCAGACTATAAAGACAAATGCTGGACAAAAAGAGACGAATGCAGTCATGATATTAGAATTGATCCTGAGGTCTGGCCACAACCCTAGGGATCTAGTTTCTGAGTCACAGCTTGGAAACAGTTGAGATCCCCACCCCATAACCATACATTAAATTGCTGGGCATGAAAAATCTAATACAGACATACTACAAGAATTGGCATTGGGGTCTGGCATATTCCCTTGGATCTCATTTGGAGAATATTTTGCCATGATTGCTTAGACATCCAGGTGAGCGATACAGGCCCTCT